GCCGGGGGTATCAGGGTGTTGTTGGGGGGCAGGAAGGGGGTGTTGGAGGCTGCAGAAAGGGAGTGTGGCGGGTGGGGGGTGCCAGGGGCTGCAGGAACGGGGTGTCACAGGGCGGGAAGGCGGTGTCAGGCGGCAGGAAGGGGGTGCTGGGTGTTGCCAGAGGTGTCAGGGTGTTGTCAGGGGGCGGCAGGAGGGGGTGCAGGTGTTGCAGGGGTGCCGGGTGTTGCAGGGTGTCAGGGTGTTGTCAAGGGGCTGCAGGAAGGGGGTGCCAGGTGTTGCGGGAGTGCTGGGTGCTGCCGGGTGTTGCGGGGTGCCGGGTGCTGTCAGGGGGTGCCGGGTGTTGCAGGGTGTCGGGTGTCACGGGGTGCCGGGTGCTGTCAGGAAGGGGGTGCGGGTGTTGCGGGGTGTCACGGGGTGCGGGTGTTGTTGGGTGCGGGTGTTGCGGGGTGTCGCGGGGTGCGGGTGTCATTGGGTGCGGGTGTTGCAGGGTGTCATGGGGTGCGGGTGTTGCGGGATGTCGCGGGGTGCGGGTGTTGCGGGGTGTCGCGGGGTGCAGGTGTCGCGGGGTGCCGGGTGCTGTCAGGAAGGGGGTGCGGGTGTTGCGGGGTGTCACGGGGTGTGGGTGTCGTGGGGTGCGGGTGTTGCGGGGTGTCGCAGGGTGCGGGTGTTGCCGGGTGTTGCGCGGTGCAAGGTGTCGCGGGGTGTCATGGGGTGCCGGGTGCTGTCAGGAAGGGGGTGCGGGTGTTGCGGGGTGTGGGTGTCGTGGGGTGTGGGTGTCGCGGGGTGTCACGGGGTGCTGGGTGCTGTCAGGTGTCGTGGGCTGCCGGGTGCTGTCAGGAAGGGGGTGCGGGTGTCGCGGGGTGCGGGTGTCGTGGGGTGCGGGTGTTGCCGGGTGTCGTTGGGTGCCAGGTGTCGCGGGGTGACACGGGGTGCCGGGTGCTGTCAGGAAGGGGGTGCAGGTGTTGCGGGGTGTTGCAGGGTGCAGGTGTCACGGGGTGTCGCGGGGTGCCGCGGGGTGCCGCGGGGTGCGGGGACGGCGCCGCGCTCTCACGTGTCCCGGCAGCGGCGCGGGCCGCCCGCACACCAGCGCGTTGTTGCTCTCGTACAGGGCGACGTGGCCGGGGGGCGGCGGCGGCGGGAACAGGCCCAGCGAGCACATCGTGGGGCTGCGGGAGCGGCGGCGCTGGGGGGGGCCCAAAGGCTCGCCCCAAAACCCCCCGCCCCCCCCAAACCGGCTCCCCTGCCACCCCCACAGCCCTCGGGGCTGCCCCCGCCCCCAAAACCCGCGGAATTGCCCCCAAAATCCGCCCCCGCCCCCGGCGGCCCCCTCACCCCCTTCGCGCTTCCCGCCCCGCTCGCGGGCGCCGACGGGAGCCCGCGCGGGACAATCCTCGCGAGGGACGATCCGCGCCTGCGCGCGCACCACCCCCGGCGGGGGGGGCTGGCCCTGTGGGGGGATTTAAAGGGGCCGCGGCGGCGGCGGCGCCCTCGGCCCCCGTAACAGCGGAGAGCATCGGCTCGCGCAGGACGTTGCCCTTTTAAGAGCTGCGGCGCGCCCGCGCGTGGCGGGAATCGCGCGCGTGGCGGCCGCGCGGGACACCCCCCCCGTCGCGGGACCCGCGGTCCCCGGAGTGGGGTCCTGGGGGCGCCCTGGGACCTCGCACCGCGCTCTCCCCCCCGCACCTCATGCACTGGTGGGAGCCTGGGCAGGGGGTCCCATGGGTGCCCCCCGCGCCGCGTCCCACGCACCCCCCCATTGCACCCGCGGTGGATCCCGTGGGTGCCCGTGGGCGCTGGGTGCGCCCCCCGCTCCTTCCCCCGCTCTCCCTTGGAGCCCTCCCAGCTCCTCTTCTTGGGATCTCATTTTCCTTCCCTCCATCCTTTTTTTTCCTTTTTTTTTTTTCGGCTTGCTTTTATTATATTTATCTCTGTATTTTCCTTAGCGGCCGCAGAAGTTATTTTAATTTTTTCAGGATATTAAATAAACGCTCTGGCGGAGGGGGCTGCGGCGGGAGGCCCTGCATTCCTCTGCCGTTACGGAGCGCGCGGGCTTTGATAGGAGACAACGATTTGGACGGCGCCGGTCGCTGGAAGCCACCGGAGCCACCGCAGGCCTGGCTGGGCCTCAGCGCCTTCCCGGGGGGAGCCACCGTTTTGGGGGAAAACCCCCTGGATCGAGGCGGCATGTCCCGATGGGGAGGGGGTGGGTGTCCCCCAGCTCCGGCTGCTCCTTGTGCCTCAGTTTCCCCTTTCCACATGGGGGCTGCATCCACCCCGCCGCCGGCCATGCGAGGTCCCCGGCCTTGGGGACGTCGCGGGGGGACGGAGGGGGGCCGGCGGCGCGAGGCCACCGCGGCGGCGGTGACTCAGCGGCGGCGGTGGCCGCGGCTGCACACGTGGCCCGGCCACGCTGGCGCGCGGGGACCCGCTTCCCGCTGCTGGCGCCGGCCCCCCCCGCCTCCACATCGCGTTTTTTTTTCCCTTCCTGGGTTTGTTTTTTTTTTTTCCCTTCCTTTTCTTGCATTTTGCAGAAAAAGCCAGAAAAGCCCCAAGCGGCAGCGCTGGGGAAACCGAGGCAGGAGCGGGAGGTGCCAGTGGTAGCCTCGTCCTGGGGACGCAGGGCGCATGGGGACCCAGTGGCAGGGGGACATGGAGATGGGGGACATGCGCACCATGGGGGGTAGGGGACGCAATGGGGACACGGGGGATGTGGGGACGCGGGCATGGGAGCGATAGGGAGTGAGTGACACCAAGATGAGGGCTCTGGGGACACGTGGATGGGGATACAAGGACACAGGAATGGGGCTTGGGGACACAGGGACACATGGAAGAGGCCGGCGTCACTTGCCTTTAATTCCTCATAATTCCCTTTATTGAAAGTGATTGGGGGGGGGCAGCCAGCTCAAACGGGGGCGGTTGTGGGGGGGACATTAGTGCCTAATGACCCATGAGAGAAGGGGGGGGTAACGAGGTGGAGGGGGAACCATCCGGGGGGCCCCATCCCCATCCCTGAGCTGTGCGCGAGGCGAAAAGGGGGGGACCCCCCAAAACCAACCAACACCCGCCCGCGGCCACAGGCACCCGGGCGCTCCCGCCGCCTCCGTGGCATAACTTAAAGGCATAAATTACAAGGGAGCCGGGCGGCCCAATAAATATCCCCGGCGCGGAGGAAGAGGAGGGCGAGGAAGAGCTCAGATCTCCAGCAGGCTGCCGGGCTCGGGGCTGGGCGGCTCCTTGGCGGCGGTGGCCGGCGCCTCGGGGGCCGGGGGGGTGTCGGTGCCGGGCGCCTTGGCCTCCCCGTGGGTTTTCTGGTGCTTGGAGAGGTGGTCGGAGCGGGTGAAGCGCTTGTCGCACAGCAGGCAGGTGAACTTCTTCTCGCGCGTGTGGCTGCGCACGTGGCGCTCGAGCTCGTCGGCGCGCGGGAAGCGCTTGCCGCAGAAGAGCCAGTTGCAGACGAAGGGGCGCTCGCCCGTGTGCCAGCGCAGGTGCGCCTTGAGGTGCGACGCCTTGCCGTAGACCTTGCCGCAGCCCGGGATGTGGCAGCTGTGCAGCGGCTTCTTGCGGGCGCCCGCGGCGCCCAGGCGCTCCAGC